AAGAATGAACGTTGTTGTGTCCTTCTTTCTTTATATAATGTGCACTCATGAATATATTATGTAGATGCGTCCTTATATGAAGTCAGCTGAACAATATATGATGCCAATGTGTCTTTATATGATGTCGACCAATCATTATACGATGTGCATTTATGAATATATGATTTGATAGAATCAGTATATATAGCTAACTTATCAATATATTATGTCAATCTTTCATTATACGATGTGCACTTATTATTATACGATGTGCATTTATGAATATATTATGTGGTTGCATCATTATATACAGTCAAATTGACAATATATTATGGAAAGCCTTGACTGTCTTATGATTGTAAAAATGAACGTTGTTGTGTCACTCTTTCTTTATATAATGTGCACTCATGAATATATTATGTAGATGCATCCTTATATGAATTCAACTGAAAAATATATGATGTCACTGTGTCATTATATGATGTCGACCAATCATTATACGATGTGCATTTATTAATATATTATGTGGTTGCATCATTAAATACAGTCAACTTATTAATATTATGTCAATCTTTCACTATACGATGTACATCTATTGTTATACGGCCGCTGCTTTATATGAAGTGCAAACATCATTATATCGTGTGCTTCTGTCATTATACTGATGGGGTTAAATTTACCGGGTTATATCTCACTGTGCACCGTTCGTGGCAACAGCGGGAAAACTCAAAGTAAATTGTATCATATATTGTTAAGCTGACTCTATATAAAGACAATTCTACATAATATAGTGTTGATTTGACTCTATATAAGAATGGTTCCACAGAATATATTCGTAATTGCACATCATATAATGAAAGACTGACATCATATAAGGACACATACACATCATATATTGTTAAGTTGACTCTATATAAAGACGGTTCCACATAATTCATTAATGCACATCGAATAATGAAAGATTGGCATCATATAAGGACGTGTTGACATCATATAATGTTACGTTGACTCTATATAAAGACGGTTCTACTTAAAATAATGTTGTTTTGACTCTATATAAAAATGGTTCCACATAATATATTCGTAATTTCACATCATATAATGAAAGACTGACACCATATAAGGACTTATTGACATAATATATTGTTATTATGACTCTATATAAGGATGGTTTCACATAATATACTGAAAAATGCACATCGTATAATAATAGATTGACATCATATAAGGACGCGTTGACATCATATAATGTTGACTCTATATAAGAATTATTCCACATTATATATTCATAATTTCACATCATATAATGGCAGACTGACATCATATAAGGACAGATTGACATCATATATTGTTATTTTGACCTTATATAAGGATGGTTTCACATAATATATTCAAAAATGCACAACGTATAATGATAGATTGACATAATAATTGATATAAAAACACGTTGACATCATATATTGTTCAGTTGACTACATATAAAGATGGACCCACATAATATATTAATGAGTGCACATTGTTTAAGGAAAGGTTGACTCAATATATTGCTTTATGGACATAACAACATTAAGGTATATAATTATAAGACAGTCAAGGCTTTCCATACGGTCACGACCGTGTAACCTGTCCCCACTCGATTTTCTACGTGTAAAAATGCAATTTCAAACCATGTCATTGTACCAAGTTACCAACTCGCAATAAATAAATGATTATATTTCTGTCAATGTTGAATGCTGTAGCCAGGATGTGTCAATCAGTCACAACTGGGGAAAAATGAAATACTTTAGATGGATGCCATATTAAAAGAAAACATCATACTCAATAAGATTATAAATGTATACTAGTATTAGGATGAAATTCCCTTCCAATTATACCAGGAATTATTTTCAAACACGTGTATAATAATTTTTGCAAAATACAAGTCATCACGTCTCATTCAAAATGACAGCGACTTTGGTGGTACCTAAAAAATATACGTTTTGCAAAACCTGAAATATTACTCAAAATAACCTTCAAATTTTTATCGATTCCGAATTTAAACTGCATTAATTTTTACTCCTATCAGTCAATTATTTTAAAAAAATATGGAAACAAAGTGATCCCTCGGAAGCATTAACCACAACAAAATTACTTGAAAATTGCAGACTCGGTTTTATTGAGTCTGTACATGATAGATAATGAATAAGTGCCCAAACATCCCACACGCCCCCTAGCACCGGCTTGAGTAGTAATCAATTCTCAACACTTAATAGTGCTGGCAGCAATGATTCCGAAGGACCATACAAATATTACAACACTGAAGTGAAGTACGGTGCAACTTTTTACTGCCGCAACACAGCACTTGACACCTGCTGTTATGAAATTTAAAGAGCTGGAAACAATTTGATCACTCGGAAGCATTAATAACAACAAAATTACTTGAAAATTGCAGGCTCGGTTCTATTGAGTTTGCACATGGAGATAATAAATAAGTAAAACATCCCTCACGACCCCTAGCATCGGCTTGAGCGGTACTCAATCCTAAATACTTAAGTAGTGCTGACATCAATGATTCAAAAGAGCCAGAAAAATATAACAACACTGAAGTGTAGTACGGTTTATCGTATAGAAGACGATCAGCTCCATCTCGCCACGAGCAGGTACATAAGGGGAAGGCACCCCGAAAAAGCTGTGGAGCATTGTTCCTATTGTACCTGCTCGTGAGGACATAAAGCTGATTGTCTTTTATACGATTTGCCACATCGCTGGCAATTTAACACATCAAAACTTCCCCATTTCTGTAAATATATTGAAATAATTAATAAGGTGTGATAAAGTATTTAACGATAAGCTAAGAGCAATATTAAAATTTAAAGATACACTATATATTCCAAATATTCCAAATATGTACGTTAACATGCTTACCATTGAAGGAACAATTTTTCTGCGTATGAAATGGAAAAAAAAAAACAAAAAAAAAACGGGCTTTATTTAAAAAAAAATACTATGACATTTAAATATGTAATTGAAATTGATATTTTGCTAGAGAAATAGATTCTATATTATGTACTTTTTTGTATTGCAAATACTTTTAAGTTGGTGTACCATCTGTTATCCAAGCAGAATACTATTAAAAAAGAATGTATAACAAGCAATCCGAATTCATTCAATTTGAGACTACTTTACTTTTCACTTCAATTTACTGTATCACATGTGTATGACTGTAGGGCAGGAAGCGAGAAAAAGTAAAATTAAATGAAAAAATTGCCGATATTGGGTAGGCAAAAAAATCGTTCCACCAATGTATTCATTAAATTTTCCTCACCATTGTACTCGTTTTTTTTAAAAAAAAGATGTACAACTTCGTTATGCAACTTTACAAAGGATAGAAATTGTTCCTGATGGGCAAACTTGCAGTTGTGCACAAGATCTCATTGCCAATTTTGTTCAAAACGTGTTCCATTTACTGAAAACAACGCATTTTAGTACCTGTTCCCCCATTGTACTCAACACCCAAAATAACTTTTTCGACTTTCAGGTCTTAACAGAAAGAGCTACAAAGTAACCAATAACAGAACAATATGTTGCTTTTGTTAGGCCTAGTTTAACATATAAATTTTACGTTAACAGTATGCTGACCTCAATTGTACTGTTTTACCGAGCGTCCAAGCCGCCAATTTATGAGCCCATTGTAATAGCTTTGACACGTGATCATCCGCAGGGGAAACGACTAGTTGACTAGTTTTTAACATCTTGCTGACATCGATGATTTTTCCCACAAAGTATGGATAGATACATAAGAGCTATCAATCACGCTTTTGATTTATAAGAAACGAAAATCAAAATCGATTTTTAGTTCGTTACGAGAATGAAAAAAAAAAGCGATTCTTGTATCATTAAAATCTGATAAAAGGCAAATAAGACATTTTATTTAATTTTACCCATGAAGTATGGTGCTCTATCAGTCAAATATTTTTCAAAATTGTTAAAAATAAAAATGAAATATAAATATGAAAGTGGGCAGAGTCAACACTCATATTTATTTTAAATGACTTCTTTCGCCATTTTCTTAAAAAATATCTGATAAAAAAAACATTTTTTGTTGAATTTTGTTTTGAAAACTACCTAGAATGATAGAAAATTGTCTAACTAAGAAAATGAATCCGAACACCAATATCTTTAATACTGTCATTAACGCTGTAGAGACGTTTAAAGAGTTGTTAACGTGACGTCACAATGTAGCGCCAAACATCGCGGTTCTTATAAATAATAAATATATATCAGCGCGCTGTACAATTGCAGTTGCGTAGCAAGCAAGGGGATTTGAAACGGCTCGTGAAAATATGTGGCATTTTATCATGTTTCGTGATAATAAATTCCATATTTCACGAAAAATGAAAAAATATCCTCTTCAATTAAAAACAATTGACAATGAGATTTATTTATGAGGCTTATTTTGCCATTAGGTTGATGTTTTTTTGGTGACACAAAGTAATTATCAGTTAAGTGTTGAAGAACATATGTAAAAACAGTTGCATGATAAATGTGTAAGAACACGTTCAGAGTAGGCTTTTACAACATTTTGATAATTATATCGTATAGCTGACCAAAATGTCAGTTTAAATAAATCGTATTAAGACAATGTTAAGTTGTAGTAATATTCATTCATGACAATTTTCGTTTTTTGAAGAATATATTCATACAGATTCTTTAAAAGCGCTGACATCTTCGTTAGCTGTAACCTCATGTGGCCTTACAAAGGCTTCATGAACGTAGACATTTTGCAGCAGGACTAACTTTATTTAGTAAAAATTACAGTAATATTTCTGATTTTCATGATGTGAAAAAAAAGTTTTTTATTAGCAGACCAGCTTCAAACAAGATATGTCAAATTTAATTTTCATAATTGTGCATTTAACCAAAAACTCCAGTCTAGTCTGCTTTAGTTTGATAGCTTTTATAACTTTTGATGTCTTTTGAGATATACGAAGCGTCATTATCATAATAACTTATGATAAACGTGCATTACAACAACATTTTAGATTGTGATTTTGATGATGACTTTTGTAACTGGCTGCAATATGATGGAGATGACTTCAACTGGGATAGGATGAAAGGAAAAACCAAAAGCCACAGTACAGGACCTTCTGTTGACCACACATCTGGACGTAAACATCACACAAATATTTTTCGATATTATTTATATCTTTAGTCAGGTTTACGTTAAAGAGCAAGATAAATATGATTTCTTTTGCTCATTTATATGTAGACATGTAAGACGATTTGTTTCTTAAACGCCTGCGACAAGCTTGCAAGTCTCGACTTTTCTGCCAATATATTTAAACATGTTTGGTAACGATGCATTCTGCAAAGCAGAAATTTTTACACTCAACATAATCTTATATGTGCTGAAAACATTAAACATCTAATCTATGGATGTATCTTCCAAACAATCTTCAGCGCAAAAGTTTATATTATGTAAGAGTAAAAGATCAACAAGGGAACACGGAACCAGTTCTCACACTTTTATGTCACAAATCACCTTTAGCGAACCAAACAGGAACAGGACAAACAGAAGAATTGTAGAGCGTACTAATAGAGATGAAAATTAACAAACTATTCATATTAACATTTTCAGTTCGTAAAATAAAGATTCAAATACATAAAATTATTCCGCTTTGACTGGGATTCGAACTCGAACCCCAACCAATTACACTACCTTCCAGACGTGTAACGTTTGAAAACCGATTATCTGGAAAGCTTTTATCTTGTGACATGTCTTTTATTACATGTATATTTTCTTTAACATTAATCAGAAATTGTATACCTGAACATAGAAAATCAAAGGATCACTTGGCATTAAAAACACGCACGTATTAAAAACTAAAAAAATAATGGCAGATATCTTTAGAACAAGGAATTAGACATGGAATTAAATTTTATAAACTCTTTTTTGAAAGTTTCCTTTAGCATATTCTTCAGACGTATGTCCAGGTTTTATACATGTATAGACTTCGACAGAATAGAACATGTAAAATATTTTTTTTAGAAATGTCCTTTAGTACTTATTTGACCGCTTATAGGGACTCCACTGAGGTTTTTTGACATGATGGGACTGAAAAATATTTTTTTCAAGATAAATGTACCATTTAATGTAGGCTTAGACCATTAATCTTTGTGCAAAATTTCAGATCATTCGCGCACTTTGTTTTCCAGGATAATTATTCAAATTGTAAAAAAGTGACACAAAATGAAAAGTGTTTAAACGCTTTTCACTCAAATCGGGCTAAGAAAAGCATGAAAATACGATTTTCAATTTATTTCAAAGTATTTTTCTTTAATATTTTTGCATATATTTCTGTTTAAAGTGCCCCAGCTCATTTATGTAAGAAATTCAAATGTTATGTTTTTAGGCTTTTAAACCTCAATGGAGTCCCTTTAATTGCTTACTCGAGTCTTGCATACACAGCTCCTTTCTCACATTTAGCAAAATTGATGCCAGATTATTGCATTGTAATGAAGTCAAATATATGTCATCAAAGGTAAGTAAAGAAGCATTGTATGAAAATGTTTACAAATGTTTGTTGTCATTCTGTATCAAAGTGAAATATCTATGCACTAGTTGTGTTTATGCTTTATTTTTGTAGATGGTTACTATACCTACATTAAAACTAGCAACAGAAAAGGACATGCTAAAGCAATTCTATTAAGTCCCACCCTGAACGCTGGTAAATATTGCCTCTCATTCTGGTACTACATGTATGGATCAGGTATTGACAGACTTCGCTTACAGCTGTGGCAAAGAAATGGTACTAAGGAAACAATTAGCACAGTCAAGTCAGAACAGGGTCAACAATGGTTTCATAATTGGGTATTCATATTTTCAAAGGATATGTTTCAGGTAAACCTAATGAATTTTTATTTCAACGTATATCCTATGATAATCCTTAATATAATCGATTTTAAATCAGATAAAAACAAATTTGATCTAAAATGGTAATAGAAAATATTCTTTAAATCATAAGAAACTTATTAATTTACTATAAGTCATTGTTTGTTTGTAAAGTTGTTAAAAAGATTTTATTACTTTAAAGATAGCTTTCGAAGGAAGAGTAAAAAATGACTGGAGCTATATAAGAAGCCAAGGTGACATTGCAATTGATGACGTAACATTGTTTTCTTGCAATGGTTTGTAGTCGATATTTTTTATTTCACACTCCCTTAAGAGAGAACAAGTAGTCGGCTGCGTGTCTGTTGTGTCGTTCATCCGTCACACACTTGTCTCGAGAAAAATTTGAAGTGTCGAAGATTTTTAAAGGCACATTATGTCTCAGAAAAACACATATATTATGTGTCGTAAAGGTAGCAAAAATGTAAACAATACTTCCATACAAAAAACTAATTCACTATAAATATACCTATTACCAACAGAGCAAAAGAAGCAAAGATAGATCATCTTTATGGCAAATGAATATTTGTGAGACTGTTACAAGATATTAAAAAAAATAATGCTTTTGACAAATGAAAATGAGAGCATTTCCGATGCATAACAGGCCTTTAATATTATTTTACACAGTGATGGAGATAAGTAAGATATGAAGTGCAGCGAACAATAAACCTCACTCTACCTTGATTTTTCTTTATTAAAAGAGCTTATTTTTTTACAATCAAAGATGACTTGTTGAAACTTCACACTGTTGAAGAGATTATTGAGAACCATAAACATAAAATAACACTAAATTTACTCGTTTTCTATTTTATTACACTTTTTGATGCTTGTCAAGAGAATGACGTAAAAGCATTAAAAGAATTCGATTAAAAATCAACTATGAATTATCTTTAGCAGCCACTGACTTTCATAACCATAAACGTTTAAAAGCAACGAGTAATTTCCAAAGCAACGACTGACTTTCAAAATCAACCTGTGTCTTCCAAAGCAATTATTTTCCTTAGCAACATTTGACTTTTCTTAACAACCATTGAATTCTATATCAATTGGTGACTTTCCACAGCAACCATAGATATTCTATATGACTTCCCATAGCAACCACCGACTTCAATAGCAACCACTGACTATAAACAGCTATCATGGACTTTTCGTTCATAGTTAACTATATAAATTTTTCCTTGTCATTTAGACCCTTAGCGATATAAGGGTCAGCATGGCTCTCTTTTATTTTCTTTCGCCGTTGTTTTTTTATAATTTTTATTTAATTTACAAGCACATTTAGTTAAACATTTATAATATCTAACACCAATGACAACATTGATAGTGATTTTACTTTTTAGCGTTACCAAGCCTTATATGTCATTAAATTTGCGTTATAACCACTTTTCTGTTGCGTTATTACACCTATTGTTTAGCTTTTAAATACCTTTGCTTCGCGAAATGACATTTTTATTTTGCGTAATAAAGCTATTTGTTTTGTGTTGTTACAACTTTTGGTACGCGATAAAACGCTTATTGATTCGCGAAATTACACCATATTATTTCGGAAATAACGCCTTTATTTGCGTTTTAACGCCTTCCAATATTTCATTTAACTTGATGCTAGTAGCCTTTCGTATTTTCTGATTGTATATTGTCCGATCAGTTGAACGAAACTGAAAGAAATAAAGGTTTTCACATAGTTTATTTTTCAAGTTAAAGGGTTCATGATTTCTATTTCACGAATTTGTGTTTTCAACTCCAGGATTTTGCTATCAAGAATGCACGAATTTGATGCCACAAATCCATGAACGTGGTAACACATAGTTTAATTCGAGAATTTATGAAAATGAATTCGTAAATTCACGGAGTTGAAATATAATTCAAGAATTCAATATGATGAAATTGTAGCCATAAAGTTGATATCGGGAAATTTGGCTTTCAGGAATTTGAATATAACGGATCACAGCCAACGTTTCCACACCTCCTGAGCTCCCTATCTTACGAAGTCCATTCGATTCTAATACAAGCTCTAGTTTATGATAATCTTATAATTCTCTATCTTTTCAAGCCTAACCAATTCAATTTAGCTATGTTATATATAAATGACGCCATTTCTCGTCAAAGTATCATTGTCAACATTAGATTTAAATTCATTTATACAAGGTCATACATTCATTTTATACAATGTTATATCATAAATAATATAATGAAACGAGGCGAGAAGTAATCGTTATTGCTAATTACAGATTGCAATGACCCAAGACCAAGCCATTCTGTTGCTAATTCCACTAATTATAAGTATGGTTCTGTGATGAAAATACAATGTAAAAATGGGTACAGTATACAAGGAGAATCAGTTATCGTTTGCGAGGCAATGGGACTTTGGAGTGGAAGTGCAACTTGTATACCCCATGGTATGTATATTCAGTTAATCTTATTTCTAAAAAGCACTGCTTAACACTTTCTCATTGTACGGCACATATTCTTTACAAGTCTACTATCTAATTAAAGTTAAAGAAGCAAATTTTTGTCAAGTTATTTTGTAGATCATTTAACTGGATATTTTAAAGGGAAACAACACAATGCTACTGGTATTCTCGATAATTTGTTCTTTTGCATGTTTGCCTTTTTATAGATTGTGGAGATTTCGCAACTCCAAATGGAACACTGTTTATTATCTGTCTCGTCTCTTTATACGTAGATTGCGGAAACATTTCACTTCCGAACGGGAATTTCATAACTCCACATGGAACAATGTTCGGACAAGTTGGCAGAAAAGAATGTAACACTGGGTTTATTTTAAATGGGGAACCAAATGTAAGATGTACTGCCAATGGATGGTCAAACACAACTTCACATTGCATACTTGTTGGTGAGAACATTATGTGTACTTTTTCGCATCTGAGCGGATTATTACCGCAAGGGAAATACAGCGTGTGTATAAAAAGGAAATCTACTTATCTTGTAAAATTGACATTACTCAAATTTATAAAAGGAAACTTAACAGATATAATCATTGTTATTGCTATTTAGACAATAACACGGTTGCAAAAAAGAGAAAATATTAGAAATATCTTAAATTGATTTAATTTCTAAGTGATTTTTTCTGTTGACTGTTTGCTTACAATTCTTTTCAAACTTCAAAATGTGACGTTTTTGCTAAGAGCATGGGAGAACAAAACCGGTATGTCTAACATAGGCTACAAAAATAATATTTTCTTTGCTCTAATAATATTATATTTGTGAAATATTTGCTAAATTACTTTAAAACATGAAGATTATATTTTCTTAATTAATGTACAATTTATCTTTACAGTAATCATACATATCTTATTGCATCATGATCTCACCAAAGAAGTTTTTATGGGTAGTCAATGAAACGAAAGAGGGTTAATTCAGGGTTTAATGCAATGAACAAATATTCTGACAAACAAATGCACGTATTTAGTGTCTTATACGCTAACTATTTCATTTTAAGTTGTATAAAAATTAATTAAAAAAAAATAGTTATTTATTTAGTTTTAAACTGTTGTATATAAAGAAACTTTGTACAAAAATTAATGACCAAATATATCTTTTTATGTCACAAAAATGCATTTTAATCAGTCATAAATTAAATGATTAGTATATGTTTTACATAGTACACTCTTGTAATTTCAGATGTTGAGACAAACAGCAGTCCTCTGATCGTCGTGTATATTTTGGTTCCTGCCGTTTTCCTCATGATTGCAGCTATTTGTACTGTCTTGTACATGAGGTAAATTGTTTACATACTAGTACTTTAACCAGAATTATTGTTTGATTTTATTAACAAGTCAATTGCATACTGCACACAATATATGAATCTTCGACAGATTTTCAGCAAGTTTCGTGAGATATATGCAGAAAGATTTGATTTGATTTAATTTGTGCGCAAAAGAGTAAACTTTCAAATGTTCTACGCGCTGTAAGATCGAGATATTTTGATTCCAAATATAGCAGAATCTAACGAGCCACAAACATTTGAATTATCTATTTATTTTTCTTACTGAAATTCATTGCCTTGTCTGACTTTATTGATAATTATGATTTTTACTTCATCTCTGTAAAGGATGATATGATTGGTTGGCTGAAAAAAGCTTACTGTGACGCTCTGACCTATAACATATACTGGTGCCTCATATTTCCGTGGTACTTAACTGTTTAAAGTTAGAAGAATAAAATTCTGGAAAATATGTTGAATAATGTAGGAAAGACATATAAATTACATCTTAGTTTATTCCTTTTAATGTTTGCATGTAAGCAATTATGCACATAAAATGACAATAAACACCCATCTGCTGTCTAGTGAGTAAATTAGTGTTCTCATATTTCCAATGCAATTAAATATTTAATAGTTTTAAAAGCAAAACCAATGGTAATCTTTATTTTTTGTATACGTAAATACTTAGCCTTGTCTGAAAGTGGGGATTTTCTATATGGCATTTATCAAATATACCAATGGTTGTTTAACAAAGACAATTGTCTTAAAAAGTTTAAAAACTAAAAGTAAAATGGTGAAATAATTTTCTTTGCTCTTAGTCTGAATAAAATAATAATAATGAGTTGTATATGTTACATTTAGATGAAAAATACAATAAGAAATTGAAAGTAAAACTCCTGGCAGATGCATAAAGTCTATGAGGCACTTGAGACAGTTTATGCCTAATACCTCGGAAATATGGGTACCACTGAAATATGAGGCACCAGTATACGTAAAATAAACGAATATCTGGCTTAAGTCAGATTGAACGAAACCTGTCTATTTATACGAAACAAATGACGAAACACGAAATAACGGAAACCAAACGTATACTTGTATGCAATTAAAGCACCAATGCCACTTTATCTTCCATTTGAATATGCAGGAGTCTTCGTATTTATCTTATCCGGGCACAAAATGCGTCATCTATTCCTGCAGATGCTAATGCTCGAAAAAATAGCATTTACTCTTTAACTGCTTTGCTTTAATTTTAAATCTGTAATCAGATTACCAATGATGAATTTGCTTGTAGGAAAAGAAATCTGAGTTGCATGAAAGTATTGAAAACGTTCAAAAGAGCTCGAGAAGTACCGTCTAGAGATTCTTTGCAAGAAAAGAGTCATTCAAACCAAATGTATAGTAACGAAGACCTTCAACTTGATGACGAATATGCAACAATTTCCGGAGAACAAACTGACGATAAAAATTTAAGTACCGGTTATTACGCAGCCGTTGATAGATCCGGAAAAAAGAAAAAGAGTAATCAAACAAAATCCACTGATGGTAATAAATCAGCTTGTAGCATTGATTTAAATGAATGCAATACATATAATGTACTAAACGCTAAAGCTCTAAATAACAGTTTAAAAGGTGGTGAAGAGCGTAACTTTGACTACGACAGTGCATGTACCAGACAAATGAAGAACGAAGCATCTAACCGTGATGACTATTCGCATATTGGTGATCTTGAAATGAAATACCAGCACACTCAACATTTTCCACCCCAACCGGACATAGAGAAAAATACAGAGTACTCGCATATTGATAGAATCAGCAGTACAAGCACGAAAGTCCCAAAACATTTGGAAACAGACTACCACGACTATGATGAGTACCAAAATCCAGTCGTGAAAGAAAAGAAGGTACTCGAAAAGCATGCACCAAAGATAAAGCAAATTGAAGATAAAGCACCAGATTATAACAATGTCGCACAAACCAAAGAAATGTACGAAAGTAATGAATCTGAAAATCATGATTACTTCATTCTAGAAAAGACATAGATGCAGTTTCTTTTGTGTGTGTGTGTGGGGGGGGGGTGCATTCGTGTTTGTGTGTGTGCGTGTGCGTGTGTGTGTGCGTGTTGGTTGGTGCGTGTGTGTGTATGTGCGTGATTTATTTTGCAATTATAAAAACTTATTTGGACTTTTATTTATTTTTGTGTGCAACTTTAAAATTTTATAATTCTGTAAATATTTTTGACAAACGTACAGCTGTTTATTTTGACAGATTAATGCCTTTTTATATATAACTTGGTCGTCAAACAACACCATTATGCTCCTTAATACGTTGGCCAAAAGTTATTAAACTAAGCAAAAGTGATCTGTTGATAGTTCCTTTTAAAAATTATTATACCTGCTAATCAAGATGGCGGCCAAAAACATTAAATGCTAAAAAGAATTTGATTTGAACTACAGAAACATGTTTACAAACCAAACGTTATCAATAACTGATCGGTCGGAGAGCTGACATACCTTAAACAGTATTTCCTCCTGAGCTGCGGGGTTAATTTAGTTAAGACTTCACATAAATGACCCTTGAGCAGTTATTTATAAACAGTTGCTGAACAAGATGGTCTTAATCTTCATATCCTATTTAAATGATTTGCACATTTTTATGAAACTCCACAGGAATGTCCCTTTGGTAAGTCCTGTACCGATTTTTCTATATTTGGTCCAGCATGCTGAACAAGAATGCGACCACAGCTAAACTATATCAGTTTTCTATGAAACATAAACATAATCTTTACCATGAAAACAATAGCCTCGGGTGAGCGATTAGAGGCCATCACGACCCTCTTCTTTATAAATGTTGTTAAAAAATACGGAGATTTTAGCCATATTTTACGGCGTATTTCGTATCACGCCCTTGATATGTTTATCGTTTGAACTGCAATGGTTATTTGAACACCACAAATATGAAAACAAAATAATTTCATCATGCGCTATACCAATTTTTAAAGGAACAGTAGTGACTTTTTATTAACCCAACTGTCATTCAATCACGAGTACCTATAAAGATAAGCTTATAAATTCAATAACAGAAATTATAATATAAACATCATTTACAGTTCTGCCATCGTAATAGTGACATAATGGTATAATGGCGATTCTGACGGTTTTCAGTTATTGCAGAGCAAATACAAATGATAAATTTAAATAGTTTTGTAAGGTTCTAATTGATGTTTCAACGTTTATTTGTAATGAATGCCATGGTAAAAACATGTTTTGACAGACATCTATTTGCAAGATATTTATCCTGTCATTTACGATTGTCAAAACCCTTTGCTTCATCAACGTAGATAAAACTGCATTAATTGGTGCTTATTTCTTGTCAGTGCAGAACAAGACGTGTTTGGATTACAGTTGAGTATTGATAAATGTTTGTAGAAATTGTTAGATTGTTATTCACTGTAGTATCTTATACATGATTGAAACATTGTTTATCAATAATGATATGAACGGATATATTCCGATCATGAAACGAGATTTGAATACGAAATTATGATTTGTGTTTATGCAACAGTTTCTTCCCTTTATTAAGTTATTGTATGGGGCTTAATACTTTGGCATTGTTTTACTGTTTTATAGACTTTGTTAATTTCATTATGATAAAATATTACTCGGAATTACACAATTATAAAGCTATTATTTATGTTACACTTTGCTCTTATCTTTCGTGCCCTGCCCTTCATATGTCACAATATTTGCTATATGTCAAAAGCTAGTTATATGTTGTAATATCTAAAGGGGACAAAATGACTATGAATAAAATTCTGTGAAGTGTGTTATATTACTTGGAACACGGCCTCAACTGTTTTTAAAAGACTATATTAAACATGCAAGATATAAACACCATAGCTTTATCAACATTATGTATCTGAGGTAAATAAGTAATGTATGTAATTTTGTTTCTGAGATAGTGTTTGACCTTGACAAACTTAATATATGTTAAATTACAAGAGGCTGTGAAAATAAACATAAAATATTTTAAAAGGTTTTGCCAAAATGAAACAATGTAAAACAAGTGACCTCTGGGGTAAGTTCTATGGTCATGGGTTAAACAAACTAAGTTGGAACAATACGGTCGCATAAAGATTGCATTTGCATTTTTATTTTATTTTGTGGCCTCAAGATATTATCTTGTGGCCTCAAGATATTATCTCGAGACCACGACGTATTATTTCGTGACCACGACTTATTCTATTGAGGCCTAAAATATTATCTCGTGGCCGCGAATTATTATCTCGTTGCCCAAACTTATTATCTTGTGGCATCAAGATATTATTTTGTGGCCACGACTTATCATCTTTAGGCTACGACTTATTTTAGCCAATGAAAATGGTCATTTCATCTTAACATAAACAAAGCTATAGATAAATGAAATGTTTACTTATCCCTATACAGAATGAAGCACACAATTAAGCATTATAAAATAAAATAATTCTAATCATAATAAATTGCATTATTCATCTCATATACATGTCAAAGAAATTAAGGTAGATATGACAGATAACAGACTTAACTCACTCTATGTTTAGAAAACAATATATCACTCTTCAAGAACACCATTAGTAAAACAAAACTGAGTGTGTTCACTGTAAACATAAAATAGTTATGATATTTAGTGTATAACGGTGCATATAGCGCCTCATCGCGGACATGGTTTTCACAATTGCGATCATTGGACTTAAATATGCGGGACGGATAAAGATGGGCGGATCTCCTCGGGACAGATCTGAACCGCCACATATGACAGATATCATAAGTCTTGACGAGAAACTGTTATGTTCAGTCATATTGTGTAATAAAATCTGTTTTGTTCTTATTTCATCTTTATCTAACTTCATAAGAGGCGAGACACAGTCGTAGTTTTGGAATATTTACAAACAGAATCAAAGAAAAGAAAATCTAAGAAGGATTGACATTTGTCTTTGAAACATGTATCGTTTAGTTTTGATTAAAAACAAACACACTCTTAGTTCAGAAAACCCGTCAAATTTAGACATTTATCATTGTGACATCGTAATATATCTTCAATAGTAATTATCTAGATACAAGAATAGTGGGATTTGAATCCACAGGGAAGAGGGCAGAGGGATACATTAACAGCTTATATTTCTTCACTGAATACTTTAAGGAAGAATGAAATAAACATCTGACCACAGAAAAGAGATGAAAGAGAAAAATATTATAATTATCAAACGTTCCCGTGTTTACCGCCACATCTTTATTTTATGCGAAAGCTATAGTGTGATATTAAATTTTGTTTAATTTGAAACAACCTTTATCATTGACTAAAATAAGTCGTGGCCTCAAGAAAAAAGTTGTGGCGACAGGATAATAAGTCGTGGCCACAAGATAATTTAAAGATAATATATTGAAGCCTCAAGGCAATAAGTCGTGGCTGCCACAAGATAATACATTTAGACCTCAAGACAATAAGTCGTGGCCACGAGATAATATCATGAGGACACAAGATAATAAGTCATGGCCACAAGAAAATATATTGAGTCCACAAGATAATAAGTCGCGGCCGCAAGATAAAAAATTACTGCAAATATCATCTCTATGCCACCGCAGCACACAGTATGATTTTTCAAACAAAATAGATTAAGGCCTTGTAGTTTTAAAGAAACAAAAAATTCTTTCCAATATAATAAAATCGAGTGATCCCGTTTGCCTATTTGTACATTTTTGTTGTGATTGAAACAAATGAAAAAACATGTGTAAAGATCTATCCTACTCTGAATTTTTTCGTTGGTCATGTAGGGTGGATATGTCGGGGCTGCGTTCTGTTAAATTTGCTTTACTTTCTTGATATGCACCCGACATAATTATGGCAAGGACATATGCTATATTGTCTGTCTGTCCGTCTGTCTCCAAGGTCAAGGTTACACTTAGTGGTCAAAAGTAAGGACTTAGAAAAATCTTGTCTGATCCATTACTCTTCATACATTAAGGCATTTTGAAGTAATTTGGAAAAAATGTTAAGCATAATAAGACGGTGTGTCAGGCACAAGACCAATACCATTGCCTCCAAATTCAAGGTCACACTTTGATGTTACTGTAAAGAAAATTTTATATGGTCAATAACACTTCCCTACGTAAAGGGATTTGCAAATAAGTTGTCAAGTGTGAAGCATAATGAATGGTGTGTAATGCGCTAGACCTTGACGTACCTTAAGGGTCAAGAACAAAGGTTAACAGTTAAAAATCTTGTCCGGTCCTAATCTCAGTAATAATTTTTATAACGAGATTTTTTTAAAAAGTTCCACAAATATTTTCCCGCATAAAGTGTTTCCCCTTACCCCTATGCCCTGTTCCGGTCCAATTATTTGTCATCAATGGTTTTTTTAAAAAAAGTTGCCGGAATGTTAACCATGAAAACTATGTTTTGTTTTGCCCCTTGACTAGACCCCTCGCTCCTTGGAAATAGTTTTTTTATGCTTGTATGATTAAGCAAGGAGTATATAGGTTCCCCTGCCCTTCAGTACGTGCGTGTGTACGAAATCTCGTCTGGTCCATAATTCATACATAAGGGATTAAAATTAATGAGATAAATGTGTGAGATTTAGAGGTGTGTCATGCTACGCTTTTAAACCTCTAGCTCCAAGATAAATTTAAAAGCAGATATTGTCCACAATATTGACCTGACACTTTATAACTTTCTAAAGGTCATTGGATAAAAATGGTATCAAAGAAAATACCCATATAAAGTAACTTCACCGGGCCTAACTTCAGTAATAAATTTTTGGTTTAAAAAAGATACGGCGTCCGATCTGAAGCTCCCAGCGATCTGAAGGTCTCAGGTTCGATTCATAACCAATACCCCGTTATAAAAATACACATTTTATTTTATTTATTCTTTTTTTTATTTTATTATCTTTAATAAGAACTACAGTGATACGAATCAATGAATCGACTAATCGATTTCACTGGTTGTGTAAGTCGTACTGTCCATACTGACGGTTTAAGAGAAGGGCAGTTTTAAAATAAAAATACAA